AATTAGAAAATGAAAGACATACAAGACCACTGATAATCTCCCTCAATCTGGGGCTTCACGCAAGATCTCACCCCGTGGGGTCAAAATGATCACAAGAACGGTGAGCAAAAATCCCAGGACCACACGGGGGGACCTAGTGAATGACCTGCAGAGAGCTGGGACCAACGTAACAAAGGCTACCATCAGTAACACACTACACCGCCAGGGACTCAGATCCTGCACTGCCAGACGTGTCCCCCTACTTAAGCCAGTACATGTCCGGGCCCATCTGAAATTTGCTAGAGAGCATTTGGATGATCCAGAAGAGGATTGGGAGAATGTCATATGGTCAGATGAACCCAAAATAGAACTGTTTGGTAGAAACACAACTCGTCGTGTTTGGAGGAGAGAGAATGCTGAGTTGCATCCAAAGAACACCATACCTACTGTGAAACATAGGGGTGGCAAAATCATGCTTTGGGGCTGTTTCTCTGCAAAGGGACCAGGACGACTGATCCATGTACAGGACAGAATGAATGGGGCCATGTATCGTGAGATTTTGAGTGCAAACCTCCTTCCATCAGCAAGGGCACTGAAGATGAACCGTGGCTGGGTCTTCCAACATGACAATGATTTCAAACATACCGCCCGGGCAACGAAGGAGTGGCTTCGTAAGAAGCATTTCAAGGTCCTGGAGTGGCCTAGCCAGTCTCCAGATCTCAACCCCATAGAAAACCTTTGGAGGGAATTGAAAGTCCATGTTGCCCAGTGACAGCCCCAAAACATCACTGCTCTAGAGGAGATCTGCATGGAGGAATGAGCCAACATACCAGCAACAGTGTTTTGCCAACCTTGTGAAGACTTACAGGAAATGTTTGACCTCTGTCATTGCCAACAAAGGATATATAACATGAACTTTTGATATTGACCAAATACTTATTTTCCACCATAATTTGCAAATAAATTCTTTCCAAATCAGCCAATGTGATTGTCTGGATTTTTTTCTCATTTTGTCTCTCATAGTTGAGATCTACCTATGATGCCAATCTCTCATCTTTTTAAGTGGGAGAACTTGCACAATTGGTAGCTGACTAAATACTTTTTTGCCCCACTGTATATGTGTTTTCATTTTACAGGTAAAATGCAGTAATTTTTGGTGTAAGAGGGAGGGGGCAGTATGTAATTATCAGACTGTGCATTGTAGTAGAAGGACGTTTTAAATATGCTCCTCCTCTTCGCAGCAGTGTCTTGGCAGAAAATAAACACATGACACTTGTCAAATCGTCTAAAGCTTTTACAAGTGTGTAGGCGTGTTGTTTACAGGCATCAGGCACTTGGGCGTTAATTCATTTCATTACCCAGAATACGTGTTTTTTACACATGTCAAGCGTTTTTTCTGCCAAAACACTGCTGCTCCTGGATGCACTGGCCCTGGTTTTTTTTTTCCTACTGGTAAATACTACTAAAAGCTTCTAAAAGTCTATGGGGTCAATTCACTAAAGGTTATTGTATGCGATAACACGGTCATGTGATGCATTTGCAGAAATTATTGCATGTGGTGAAAAAAAATTCAAATTCACAAAAAAATAAAGATTCTGCTGTATTTAACGCAAAATTAAAAATGTATCCATAAATACAGAAATAAATAATAATAATTATTAAAATAATAGATAAATACAGAAAAAAAATAATGCAATCATTTTCAGCAGGGTTTTGCTGGTGGTATCACATGCGGTATTTTTTAAGATGCAGCGAGGGGGTCCCTGCCCAATTCATACCAGGCCCTTCTGGTCTGGTATGGATATTAAGGGGAACCCCATGCCAAAATTAAAAAAAAAAATGGAGTGGGGTACCCCCCAAATCCATACCGGACCCTTAGGTCTGGTATGGATTTGGAGGAGACCTCCATGCTGCTTTTTAAAAATTTTGGCGTGGGGTTCCCCCCAAATTCATACCAGACCTAAGAGCCTTTTTTCTTTATTTAGGTGTGGGGTTTTCCTTAAAATCCCAACCAGACCCGAAGGGCCTGGTATGATAGGGGGGTCCCCACGCTGCTTTTTTTTTTTCATAATTTTTAATTGCTTTGTTTTGTTTACATTCAGTGGTCAGCGGGAAACCCACTGACAGCTGATGAGCCCTCTGTTGTTAAGGACATGGCGGCTGCTTAGCAGATAAATTACTGCTTAACCACTTGCCGCCCAGCCACTGTATAAAAACGGTGGCAGGGTGGCACGGCTGGGCAAAAGCACGTTTTAAAACATGCTGTTTCAAAACAGGTAGGGGGCGCGCGCAAGGCGCGCCGCCGCCCTACCTTCACCGCCAATCTCAGCCGCGGGTGTCAGTCGCCGGGTCACAGCCGGTTATTATCAGCTGTGTCCCGGCGATTAGCGACAATTAGTGACAGAGAGCAGGGCTGCAGTACCTCTGCTTTCTGTCAGTTCCCTGACAGCTCCTGACAAGCTGACCAGGAGAAAAGAGTTTCTCTGTCCCGATCAGTGTGTCTCCCTGCAGTACACACCCCCACACCCCCTAGTAAAACTCTCCCCTCACACAGTTAACCCTTTCAGTGCAAAAAAAAGTCAATCCCTTCCTCCCCAGTGCCATTAGTACAGTGTCAGTGTTTTTTTTGCAATGATCACTGTATTGGTGTCACTGGGGATGTCAGTGACCCTAAGTCAGTTCCCCCCCAGTGTCAGAATGTCCACCGCAGTCCCGCAGTCCCGCAGTCCTGCCATAAGTCGCTGATCGCCGCCATAAGTCACTGATCGCCGCCATAAGTCGCTGATTGCTGCCATTATTAGTATAAAAAAAAAATTAAAATCCGAGTATCTTTCCCACCATTTGTAAACGCTATAACTTTCATGTAAACCAATTATTTTACACGTATTGGGTTTTGTTTTAGCAAAGACATGTCGCAGAATGCATTTTGGTCGAAATTTATGACGAAATTTGATTTTTAAGTTTTTTTTTTACTGGACATGTTTTATAGCAAAAAGTACAAAATATTGTTTTTTTTTCTCAAAATTGTCAGCCTTTTTTTTTTATAGCGCAAAAAATAAAAAACGCACAGGCGATCAAATACCACCGAAAGAAAGCTCTATTTGTGTGAAAAAAGGACATAAATTTCATTTATGTACCGTATTGCATGACCGCGAAATTGTCCGTTAAACTAGCGCAACGCTGTATAGCAAAAAAATGGCGTAAATTGCAGTATCTATACCATAGTTTGTAGACGCTATAACGTTCACAAAAAGCAATCAATATACACTTATTGGGATTTTTTTTAAAAACATGTAGCAGAATACATTTTGGCCTAAATTTATAACTAATTTTGAGTTTACTATATATTTTTTATAGCTGAAAGTGAAAAATATTCTTCAAAATTTTTGGTCTTTTTTTGTTTATTGCGTGAAAAATAAAAAGCGCACAGGTGATCAAATACCACTGAAAGAAAGCTCTATTTGTGTGAAAAAAAGGACGTAAATTTTGTTTGGGTGCAGCGTTGCATGACTACTCAATTATCAGTTAAATTAGTGCAGCGCCAAGTAGCAAAAATAGGCCTGGTCATTAAGGGGGGTAAATCCTCAGGAGGGCAAGTGGTTAAAAATATGCATTAATTACTGCAATATTGTTACTTTACTGCAAAAGTTATTTACCGCCAAATTCTTAGTGAACTGCACATTTGCAAAAGATTTACTGCATGCCTTATTTTACCGAACTTTCTCAGTCGGTATTTAACTCTTGATGAATTGACCCCTGTGTGTGCATTGACACATAGGATAACATGGAGGGCTGTTTGGAAGCAGTGACAAAAAAAAAAACCCTGGTGCCCCCTAAAAATGGCTGCAAAAATGCCCTGTGTGCATGAGGCCTAAGATGTATCAAAACTTTTTCTTGCTTTGGATTGAGTTGGAAGTGGTTAAACCCCTGTTCTTTTTCTTCTTTTCCTTCACCTCCTGATACAGAAACACAACTGGAAATGGGAAGAAACCTCTCCAAAGTGATAGAAAATTCCCTTTAATAAAGTTATAACCAGAACAAGAGCCTCCATTGAAAGATCTAAGTTCACCTCTTGTTGTATTGACATTGGATTTCCCATTACTTGTTGTCACAATGACAAAACTCATCAGGATAAATAGCGAAGTTGAAACTTTAGAATGGGGCGGGTAGGTCTGGGCTGGGGGAGGGGGGGGGGGGGGGGGGTGGGGGGCATATGTCCTCTAGGCCAGTACATTGCAAGTATGTTATTGACCCTGAATGCCAGATATTTCACCCTTCAGGCAATATTTAGAATGGGACCCACAGTCAGTGACACATGCTGAGCATTATATAGCTATCAACTCCTCCTTTAAATCTGCAATCACAAAGCCAAACAAAGGGAAATCGGCTCTGAGATGTCACATGACTGAATGCCGAGAGCCACAAAGAAAGCTGATGCTGGACATTTTTAAAAACTGTGTGGCAATAGACCATATTCTTTAGTAACACCTAACTTTCGCTGTGCCCACCAGTAAAGATGCAAACTGAGCCATGGGGTTGGTTTACTAATGGCAAATAGACTGCAAGTGCAGTAGCACTCATTTTTCTTAGTAAATGTGATGTGGTAAAGCTTCACTTCATAAAGAGTACCCAATCAGGTGCAATTTAAATAAAAAAAAGCATTCATGCTTGCATGTGATTGGATGATGGAAATTAGCAGAGTTTACCACATTTACTAAGCTCTGGGGACAATGAGTGCACAGTCTATTTGCCTTTAGTAAATCCACCCCCATGGCTCACTTTGCATGGTACACTTTCTTAGTTTATAGAAATCTGTTCCTACAATAAAAGGACTTGTCCTCTATGCCAAAGGCTTCAAGTCCTTCAACTCTTTCTCAAGAGACCTGAGATACACCTTAAAATGGCTTGACATACTTACATATTTTTTCCATCATACCTCCAAAACTGGTGTATCTGTTTATTTCTTAGGACCCCAGACACCTACAATTTTTCTGTGATTTCACCGAGAATAACGTATATATATGTTGCTGTCTGCAAAGAAGAGCTATGGGGCTCCTACAGACTTTGGATTCTGTCTCAAGGTACGGCCATTGTTTTATCATTGTAACATTTAGCAATTTCCAGCAGAAATTCGATTTAGAGCATGTATGATAAAGTGTAATCATGTCTTGGCTGTTTAAGTAGGAGAATTTTAGTGACTTTTATTTCAACAGGTATTTCCTGCAAGGCATGCATTAATCAAAATGTGCTGTGGCCTTCTAGCCTAACAAGACAGGAGGAACCAAGGAAATGAAACTACTGTGTGCAGAGACTGAAGAGAGTAAGATCTGCTGGCTGACAGCAATTAGGTTATACAAGGTACTATTTCTCTTTCTATATACTCTTTCTATTTCTCTTGTTTATACATACTCTTGTATGATAATCTTTTTATTTGGTTGGGATTATTCATAAAGTTTAGTTTGAACACTGAAAGGGTTTTTTTTTCACAATGACAACCAGAGGAAAGTAAAAACAGGTGGTTGAGCCATGGTTTTACCACCTCCCAACTATCCAGTTAAATTCCACCATCACAACTTGATGGGGCTATATACAGCTTTATAGCAATGACAAATGTAAAGTGTTACTAAACCCACAGCAGCAAAATCAGTTTGTATATGCAGTAAAACATGCTTGGTATATTCATGTGGAACCTAAGGGGTTATTCCTCTGCATTGTGTAAAAAAGGCTGCTTGATCCTGTCTTCTCTGATCCTCCCCTTCTTCTATTGTAAAAAAATCAGCACAAGGGACATTACTTGATGTGTAACTGCTGTGTCTTCCTAAAATTGCCCTCCTTTGATGACCCACCCCCATCCCAGTCACCATAATCTTCTAGTGTAGCAGGGGTTAATAGAACTAAGAGACTATACGCACCCTTCCCGCCCAGCAGCTCCATTCATAGATGCCATTATTATAGCTCCCATGAAGGAAACAGGATCTTTGAATGCAGGGTGAGCAGATTATTTAAATGTATTCCCCTTCCATTCATAGACTGTGTTTGAAAGTGTTATAAAGAGCTTTGCTGATATGAGGAGAGAACAGAGGGATAAATAATCAGTCGGTTGCTGCACCTTCACTATCCGGGATAACTGTGTTGTGTAACTCCAGCATAGAAAAGTCAGGTCACCGATCTGGGTTTACTATCTGCTATGGTTGTGTAAGCTGTTTGCCTGGAGTTCAGCTTTAATTGGAAGAGTTCAATTTCTGAGTTACATAGAAGATATGCCTGGCCCAAGCAGGACCGCTGGTAAGGAAGTAAAAGCAGTACCGGGCCAGGCCCCATCACTGCAACAATGGGCCCTAGGCATCTGACAAGCAGGAGGGTTGGTTCTTTTGCCTTAACAATACAACATATAACATAGGGAGTGCTTCTAAGAGTAGCCACTTGTGTAATCCAAACTGAAAACAATGTGATTTTCTCACCGTTTTCATTAGCTGCCACTTGCTTGACACAGGACGGCATTCAGTACTGGTTCACATATACAGTTGCAAGAAAAAGTATGTGAACCCCTTGGGATTATGTGGAGTTTTGCATGAATCGGGCATAAAATGTGCTCTGAACGTCATCTAAGTCAAAACAATAGAAGAACACAGTCTGCTGAACATAATACTACACAAACATTAGATGTTGCCATGGTTTAATTGCACATAACATGTAAACATTCACAGTGCAGGGAGGAAAAAGTATGTGAACTTTTGGACTTAATAACTGGTTGACCCTCCTTTGGAAGCAATAACCTCAACCAAACGTTTCCTGTAGTTGCAGATCAGACCTGCACAATGATCTGGAGTAATTTTGGACCAACACTCCTCTTCACAAAACTGTTTCAGTGTAGCAATATTCTTGGGATGTCTGGTGTGAATCGCTCTCTTAAGGTCATGCCACAGCATTTCAATCGGGTTGAGGTCAGGACTCTGACTGGGCTACTCCAGAAGGCGTATTCTGTGCTGTTGCAGCCATTGTTTTGTTGAATTACTTGTATGCTTTGGGTCATTGTCCTGTTGCATCACCCATCCTCTGCGGAGCTTCAGTTGGCGGACAGATGGTCGTACGTTTTCCTGCAAAATGTCTTGATAAGCTCTGGAATTAATTTTCCCATCAATGACAACAATCCGTCCAGGCCCTGAGGCAGCAAAGCAGCCCCAAACCATGATGCTCCCTCCGCCATGTTTTACAGTGGGGATGAGGTTTTGATGTTGGTGTGCTGTGCCTTTTTTTCTCCACACATAGTGTTGTGTGTTCTTCCAAACAACTCAATCTTGGTTTCATCTGTCCACAGTATATTTTGCCAGTAGTGCTGTGGAACATCCAGGTGCTCTTTTACAAACTTCAAACGTGCTGCAATATTCTTTTTGGACAGCAATGGCTTCCTCCGTGGTGTCCTCCCATGTACTCCATTCTTGTTTAATGTTTTCCTTATTGTAGATGTGTCAACAAAAATGTTAGCATGTGCCAGAGATTTCTGTAGGTCTTTAGTTGACACTCTGGGATTCTTCTTTACCTCATGCAGCATTCTGCGCTGTGCTCTTGCAGTCATTTTTACAGGATGACCACGCCTAGGGAGAGTAGCAACAGTACTAAACTTTCTCCATTTGTAGACAGTCTGTCTTACCGTGGACACATGAACATCAAGGCTTTTGGAGATACTTTTGTAACCCTTTCCAGCTTTATGCAAGTCAACAATTCTTGATCGTAGGTCTTCTGAGAGCTCTTTTCTGTGAGGCATGGTTCACATCAGACAGTGCTTCTTGAAACCAGTAAACCCAAAACAGGTGTGTGTTTTTTAAGGGCAGGACAGCTGTCAGCAACACATCCAATATCATCACACTGATTGGAGTCAAGGTTGGCTCACTCCTGGCTCCAATTAGCTCTGGGAGAAGTCATTAAGCTAGGGCCTCACATACTTTTTCCTCCCTGCACTGTGAATGTTTACATGTTATGTGCAATTAAACCATGGCAACATCTAATGTTTGCGTAGTATTATGTTCAGCAGACTGTGTTCTTCTATTGTTGTGACTTAGATGACGTTCAGAGCACATTTTATGCCCAATTCATGCAAAACTCCACGTAATCCCAAGGGGTTCACATACTTTTTCTTGCAACTGTATGCGGATTGGATGCAGTTTGAACTACATCCAATCCACATGATATGTGAAATGACATTGTTTCCTATGGTGCCTGTTCACATATGTCCAGTGCACTGGCCCTGCAAATTGAACAACAGTTTTGTACGATTTCTGAGCAGTGCAATCTGGTTCAGGTGCAGATTACAGGCTATTGACTTCTAAGGGAACCGTTTCTAAACCACACGTTTCATCAGTTATCAACAGGATAAAATCCTGACCTGAACCTGATCTAAACCTGACCTGAACCTGATCTAAACCTGACCTGAACTGCTGAACAACTAATGTGTCAATTAGCTGTGAAACCTGATCTTCAATTGGCACCACACATGTGTGAATCCACACTCTGTAGCATAGCACTGCAGTTAGGAATCTGTGCCCCCGGTCTTTGATCTTTGATGGTTCAGCTCTAGAAACTCCACAGTCCACAACTGAACCGGAGTTGTAAAGGTCAAAGAGCGGGGCCACAGACACTGAACTGCAGTGCTATGCTATACAAGCCGGAATGCTGTCCTGTGTAAAGCAAATGACAACTAATGAAAATGGTGAGTAACTTACATTGTTTCCAGCTTGGATTACACAAGTAGCTACTCTTAGAAGCACTCCCTATTTGATATTTTTTGATTGGTCCCGTTTCTCTGTATTGGGGATCATCTGACGCAGATGCTGAACTAAAGGGGATCACATTATCTGGCAACTGGGATTTCATCTGAAAGCCAGTTGTAATCCTTCACTGTGCACCCCCAGCTCCCTTACACAGTATAGGATATATATGTACTGTATAGATTTTGCTATATGCATCTTGAATTACTGCCTTACCGGCAGCCCAAGTAACAGCAGTAAATTTGTTTTATATTTGATAAAGTAGCCTAAAAAATACAAACACTGTGCATTCTGTTTTAATCCCTGAAACGGATCCCCCTGTGACTCCCCTTGCAGCTTAGCTGACGTCTTCTTCTCCCTTCCCATACAGCTTTCAGCTGCCGCAGAGGAACCCACAAGCGGATTGGTTACAGTAATTGCGACAAGGTGTATAATTCCTGCTATGGCAAAGCATCTCAACCATGGCATGTATGCAAGTATGCCTATGCAGCTAAATGGGGTAGCAGTTGGGGGCAGTAAAAGCACAGCTCAACCAGTGGGCTTTACTGGCCCCCAAACTCACAAGTGAATATCCCCTAAGGGCTCATTCACACAGGTACTCTGGCCTTGCAATGAGTGGTTGGCTCATGTGGCAGAAGCTGGGAAGAAGGGGATGCAGCTACTGTACAAACAAAGCCACAGAACGTAACTTGACAGATTTTGTAGGTGAGTGGCCTGTATGCACGCTACCTGTGTTTATGGCCGTACGCCTGCACCCACATGATCTGCAGCTGTGTTCGTATGAGTCCCATAGTCTGCCTGCGCACCGCTCCATTTGGCTCCAATCACATAAACAAGTCACTGATTCACACCATACAGGCCACTGTGCCCATGTGTATGAGCCCCAAGACCTCATTCACACACAGATCTTTATTTATTATCTCAAAATTGTTTTATCTTTTACATTTAGCAAGATTTGTTTAAGTTAGATTGTGTTTGTGTCCTCTATTATTTTAGTGTATTTTTAGCAAAAATATTATTTTGAAATATTCGGGTGGGAGGGAGGGTGCATGGGGCAGTCCCAGTCCACGTACTACAGAGAGCATGGCAGATGCTTCACAGCCTGCAGTTTTTGGGGAGACATTTGCCCATCTATGGCTAGTCTTTTTTAATTTGCCAGTAAGAAAAAAAAAATCAAATTGAGGTACGCCTGCTACAAGTCTGATTTAACATTTCACACATTAAGTGGCAAAATAGTCAAGTTAAATAATTCAAGTTGACAGACGGATAAACAATCTCCTGTGTTCTGAACAAGTGTGGAACAGAACTAGAGGGTTTTTCATATCTTTGGTGTTCTTTGCCTGAAAAACATTGTTGTTTATTGTATAACAAGGAGCAAAACATATTTCTAATGCTATGCCTGTATTTTTTTTTTTTTTTAGAATGGAAAACAGATTTATCAAAATTACTTAAGACCACAACAAAAATGTGATGCAAGCATTCAGAATCTTGCGGCTACGGTAAGCATTATTGTTTCAATATAATAATAGATGTAAAACTGTTTTGTTGTAACCTTCCAACTGATGTCAGTGATATACAATACATCCCACTATGTAAGGCCCCATAAACACAATGAGAATATTGGATGAATGATCGTCCATTTTTTTTTGCATGCTAGTCTCATATCGAAAGTGAAGAGGTTACCAAAGTTAAGAAAATTCTTGTGCGTCAGAAAAGTGATGTAATGTATTGTATTTGTATTTTATTCTCAAGTGAAAACTGTACAAATTAAACAAAAATCATACGATCTGGGATCGTGCAAGAAAACGTTTCATGCTTGTCCCTTCAAATAATTTTTGGACGAAAGCTGTGTACAAACAATCTGATTATCGTACGATCGCTTCGAAAGTGGTATTTTTTGTACGATTTTCTGATCATGTGTACTAGGCTTAAGGGGTCACCTTTGGGCAATAAAATATCATACCACACTTCCAATGTCCTGTGAACATTTGATAAGCTCCCTATAGGTGTAGCAATGTACAGTATCATATTTTCAACATAAAACAATGGGGAATCAGATGGATATTTACAGTACAAATTTTTTTTTGATTCACATATTACTGCTATCTCTAGGAATGTGCCTGATTAATACTCATTACACCAAAAGAGTATGCATTGGATGATAATTTCTTGCAATGAATGAATACAATAAGGTGTATTCAAAGTCAATACTGTTTTCTGTGCTGGAAAGAGTGATGAGGGTTTAGAACCTCTGTCAGGTCTAGACTATGTTACTGTTAGTGTCCCTCTTTATTTGTCTTGGTGATCATTGTCACCTGGACTGAAAGTAAGGGAAATCTTCCAATTGTTAAGCCCCACATACATGATCAGAGTACCGTACGAAAAAGGTTGCTTTTTAAAGCGATCATACAATAATCTGATCATTAGTACACAGCATTCATCTGAAAAAAATAGAAGGGACAAGCACAAACATTTTTATTGTTATAAATTTTTTTTGCTTAACCAGCACACTAGTCGTCCGAACATACAATACAAATACATTACATTATTCTGAATTTTTATTCTGTTGTTAAAGATGTTTCGGAACTTTAGTAACCTCTCCACTTTTGATAGTCTAGCATGCAGAAAAAAATGGATGATCATTCGTCCGATATTCTAAATGTGTATACGGGGCATAACGCTGTCTAAGAGAGTATTTGCCTCACTTTGAATGTATTTTTTTCTCAATTCCCATCATGTTTTTGGGACAGGAAGTGAAGGCAAAGCTTTCAAATGGGACATAGATGATGGAAAAATAACTGACACAGGGTTTAACCATTAGCCAAAATGGCAAAAATGGCTTTAGTTGTTTAGAATACTTGTTTTTTTTATACCCTTTTCCAGAGATATTTACCAATCAGTCTTGGATAGAAATCAGCAGCATGAATTACCTATTGGCCTTCTATATCTGTCTCTGAGATTCTGGTGGTGATATCCTGATCCGTTTGCTCTTCCTGGCCATAGTGGTCCTTACAAGGGGATTATATTGTTCTTAATCACTGTAAACCCTTGCAGACTGGAGACTTAATTGACAAAATGAGCCTTCAGATGGTGTTGTAGCCTGAACGTGGAAGTGAATATGTTTAATACTGTATTTGTCAGATATAATTACAGTATACAAAAGGGTAAACAAATAAATAAATGTAGAATATATGAGTATACTGTGCATTCATAAAGTATTCAGACCCCCTTCACTTTTTTCAATTTTGATATGTTGCAGTCTGATACTACAATTATTTAAATTAATTTATATTCTCATTAATCTACACTCAGTACCCCACAATGACAAAGTGAAAACAGAATTTTAGAAATGTTTGCAAATGTACGAAAAAGGAAAAACTGAAATATCACATTGGCATAAGTATTCAGACCCTTTGAAGCAATTTGGCTCAATTTGGCTCTTTGCTTGAAATGTGGCTCAGATATCTCCTATTTCTCTTGATCATTGCTGGGATGTTTCTATACCTTTATTGGATTCCACCTGTGGTAAATTAAATTGATTGGACATGAATTGGAAAGGCACACAGTCTTCCCAATCAGGGGAGAATGGCCTTAATAAGAGAGATGGCCAAAAACCTGAGCTCCAGAAATCCTGTGTGGAGAAGGAACAAAGTTCCAGAAGGACAATTGTCACTGCAGCCCTCCACCAATCTGGGCTTTATGACAGAGTGGCAAGACAGAAGCCCCTCTCCTCAATGCAAAACACATGAAAGCCCTATTGGAGTTTGCAAAAAAGCACCTGAAGGACTCTCAGGCTGTGAGTAACAAAATTATTTGATCTGATGAAACCAAGATTGAACTGTTTGGCCTCAATTCTAAATGTGTCTGGAGGAAACAGGCACCCCTTATCATCTGCTCAATACCACCCCAACAGTGAAGCATGGTAGTGGCAGCACCATGCTGTGGGGGTGTTTTTCAGCAGCAGGGACTGAGAGACTGGTCAGGGTTGAGGGACAGCTGAATGAAGCAACTGTCCCACAGTGTTCAGGACCTCAGACTGAGCTGAAGGTTCACCTTCCAACATGACCACGATCCTAAGTATACTGCTAAGACAACACAGGAGTGGCTTAGGGACAATTCTGTCAATGTCCTAGAGAGGCCCAGCCAGAGTCCTGACTTGAATCCTATTAAGAGAACTGAAAATGGCTGTCCAACGACAATTCCCATCCAACCTGACTGCACTTGATTGGATTTGGATGAGGATTTGCAAAGAAGAATGGCAGAAAATCCCCTAATCCAGGTGTGCAAAGCTTGTTGCGCCATACCCAAAAAGACTTGCGGCTGTAATTGCTGCCAAAGGTGCTTCAACAAAGTACTGAGTAAAGGGTTTGAATACTTCAGTACATGTGATATTTCAGTTTTTTAATAAATTCACAGACATTTCTCAAATTTGTTTTTCACTTTGTCATTATGGAGTGTAGATTAATGAGAAAAATGAATTTAAACAACTGTAGTGTCAGGCTGCAACATAACAAAATTGAAAAAAAAAACATAATTAAAAATACATATTTAACTTAAATATATATATAACTTCATGTGGCCTTCAGATTAGCACAACAGTGCATAGAGAGCTTCAAGGAATGGGTTTCCATGGCCGAGCAGCTGCATCCAAACCTTACATCATCAAATTCAATGCAAAGCGTCGGATGTAGTGGTGTAAAGCACGCTGCCACTGGACTCTAGAGCTGTGAAGAAGTGTTCTCTGGAGTGACCAATCACGCTTCTCTGTCTGGCAATCCAATGGATGGTCTGGGTTTGGTGGTTGCCAGGAGAACAGTACTTGCCTGACTGCCTTGTGCCAAGTGTAAAGTTTGGTGGAGGGGGGATTATGGTGTGGGGTTGTTTTCCAGGGGTTGGGCTTTGCCCCTTAGTTCCAGTGAAGGGAAATTGTCACCATACCAAAACATTTTGGATAATTTCATGCTCCCAATTTTGTGGGAACAATTTGAGGATGGCTCCTTGTTCCAACATGACTGCGCACCAGTGCACAAAGCAAGGTCCATAAAGACATGGATGAGTGAATTTGGGGTGATGGAACTTGACTGGCCTGCACAGAGTCCTGATCTCAACCCAACAGAACACCTTTGGGATGAATTAAAGCGGAGACTGTGAGCCAGGCCTTCTCATCCAACATCAGTGCCTGACCTCACAAATGTACTTCTAGAAGAATAGTTAAACATTCCCATAGAAACAACTCCTAAACCTTGTGGACAGCCTTCCCAGAAGAGTTGAAGCTGTTATAGCTGCAAAAGGTGGGCCAACTCAATATTGAACCCTATGGACTAAGACTGGGATGCCATTAATGTTCATGTTCATGTCTAGGCATTAAAGACCACATCAGGTTCTACTTCTGGGTCTTCTTGCTGTGTTAAACTGCCTGTGAATCCTGAGAAGTAAGCAAGCCACTGCATTTATATAAAGTCTTAGGAATAGTGATGACCAAATCTGTACAAGTTCTATTTGCCACAGGTTTGGTGAATCTTGTTTAAAATTTGGTGAGCCAAGGGCAGATGCCCTTGAAGTCTATAGGGGTGAATCTTGTTGCTAAGTTCTGTCCATTTTTAGGGGTAATGGGCAAACTACTTAAAAAAAAAAGTAATGATAAACTATGAACTACAAGGGGTACGTGTACAGATCCCAAATTTTTTTTTTAGATAAAATATCATGCAGCAGGGAATCTTTTCATGTGGTTTCAAGGAGCATTAAAAATACACAAACCTTTTTTAAATAACATGCCTAGGGCATGCCGAAACCCTTTCACTGCCACCAACATAGGGCTTACATCAGTAGCCTGGGGGTTTTACACACATGCGTGTAAACTTCACAAGCCAACTGACAGCTTTCAGTGAAAGTGACTCTACAGCCACTGGATCACTTTCACCAACCCCCCTGGATAACGCATCCCTGTGCAAACCCCCTGCCATGTTTTCCCAGCTTCAGGATAGGTTCACACTAACACACATGCTGCGGGCTGGTTGTGGGAATCGATGTGAGCCTAAGCCTGCTGACCATGGTCCAAAGGCCATGCAGCACATTATGGTTTGAAAAATTCTCCAGGACAATTCTCATGGAACCATGGAATCTTGAACATGCAGAATTTGCCCCAAACCCATGGTAATGGCAAACCCTAACCTTACCTTACTTATAAGACATGTTCCTTGCATAAAGTGACATTGGAAACAGTACGTGTAGTTTGTATATATCCTTTACTAAGAATACAAATATGATAATAAAGTCAATTACGTTTTGTTTGCTTATGTTTTAAATTGTAGAGAAGCATATCTGAAAACTCCCTTGTGGCGATGGATTTTTCTGGTCATAAAAGCAGAGTCATAGAAAATCCCACAGAAGCATTGTCCATTGCACTTCAGGAAGGGTTGTTATGGCGGGTATGTGTGATTTCTGCATTGCTATCTGTATTGTAGAACATGTTTTTTCCATGTATACATTGTTGTGTATGGAATGTTGACTGAATGGTCAAAGTCTTTTTTAAAAAATACGGGGATTGTATCGAAAGTAATGCAAACGTGGGCATAACTTTTTATTAAATTACATAGGTCTTTCAAATTTCACGTTGGTAGAGTAACTTTTTTTCTATAGTAACCTTTCTTCTTTTTCATTGCAGGCAAAATAATGGATTCCAAGCAGAAGCAATGTGTCACCATTGAGTTCTTTACAAAGGAGGGGTGCAGGCTGTTTAACATCCACAGAAAGCTACAGAATGTTTTCTAAGATGACACTATTGACAAGAGCAATGGCTTTCATTGGTGACTCTTGTCAGTGGTATCATCCCTGTAAACATTCTGTAGGCTTCTGCGAATGTTGGAAAGCTTGCCCCCCTAAATTTTAAAACTCAATGATGGCATATTGCTTCTGCTTGAAATCAATTATTTACAATTATATAATGCTGATATTTAGGCAAGCAGATACATTTAAAGCTAATGTACAAATGTAGCAACTGTTTTGCCTTTCAAAGGATGTACTGTACATCTTGTTGCAGCCACACCTATGATCCTATAATCCAGCTTCCCTTATTAGGCAGTGTAGCTACACCTTTGGCCTCAGCTGCAGATGGGGGGAAAGGGGCAAGGGAATGGAATGGGGAAGTCCACTTAATTGAATAATTATTTCTCCCAATTTCTATGTTCTTCACACTCAGAGATCACACATATACAGTGCTCAGCATAAATGGGTACACCCCAACAGATTTGTCAGAAAACCTTTACTTTCCATTCAGAATCAACATTTTCTATGGGACACTATACTACAAAATACTCCCACAAATGCGGGCCAATGATTGCAAACATGATTTGTTAATTTGCACAAACAAGTATTTTTCCTAACAAATTACAAATTCCTAACATGTTACAAAAATGAGAACACCCCAATGAAAGTCTTAGGAGCAAAGCTAAATTTTAGACAACAAAATCCTATTTAACAAAAATTCAACTACAGGTGAGTCTAATTATTCATTAAACAGGTGTCCAGCAGATAGCTGATTATAAAAGGGTGTTACTTAACAAAGAAAACTCCTTCCCATTTCATGCTGTCAGCAATGGCACCACATGGAAGAGAAATGTCACAAAGCCTGAAAAAGAAAATAATTTCTTTACACAAGAAAGGTGAAGGCTACAAGAAGATCAGCAAAGCTTTACGTATCAGTCAGAATACTGTAGCAAAAGTGATAACAAAAATTCAACCATCTAACAGAGATGTCCAGGCCATCCACGGTAGTTAACACCTCGACAGGAGCGTCTTCTAATAAGAAGGGTTGAAGAAAATCTCAATGCAAGTTCACTGCAGTTAGAGAAGCTAGAAAGCCAAACTGGGGTGATTGTTTCCCATGACACAATACAGCGTACACTGCAGAGGAATGGCACGCATGGGTGTAGTTCACAAAGGAAGCCTCTCCTAATGCCCATGCACAACAAAACTCACCTAGAATTTGCAGGGCCCATGCTGAAAAAGAAGACTACTGGGACTCTGTACTCTGGAGTGATGAAACCAAGATAAATGTTTTTGGAACTGATGGCTTTAAAAATGTATGGCTTCACAAAGGTGACGAGTACAAAGAAAAATTCATGGTGCCTACAGTGAAATGTGGTGGCAGTGTCCTGTGGGGCTACATGAGTGCTGCTGGTGTTGGGGAGCTGCATTTCATTGATGGTATAATGAATTCACAGATGTACTGCTTTATATTGAAAGAGAAGATGCTACCATCACTCCGTGCCCCTGTTTGTCGTGCACTTTTCCAACATGACAATGATCCAAAACACACATCTAAAGCCACTTTTGCATTTCTGAAGAGGAACAGAGTGAAAGGGATTCAGTGGCCAATTATGTCTCCTGATCTGAACCCAATTGAACACCTATGGGGAATTCTGAAGAGACAAGCTAAGCATCACTCTCCATCCAGCATCCAGGCTCTAAAAGAGATCATTCTTGAGGAATGGAAAAAGATAGTTGCAATATGTCACCAACTTGTTCATTCCATGCCTAGAAGACTTGATGATGTCCTTAAAATCATGGAGGTCATATAAAAACTAGTGTAGTAGTTTTTATTGTGGGGTGTATTCATTTTTTAATTAACTAATTTGAGTAAAACTGAAGATTTTGTAACCTGAGTTATGTTATTAACATTAATAAGCTAAACAAATGTTCTATAAAAACTCAGTTGTGTCAAAATTTTGGAATTTGTTCTTGTGTTCATGGACATATCAGTTAAAATCTTACTTTTCAAAACTCATTTATGCTGAGCACTGTATATTTATTCCATATGGTATGTTCCTATATATCATTTATGTATTTTGATTTCACTTCCCCTTTAACCACCTCCTGTCTGGCAATTGTATATAAACGGCTGGACGGTGGCAGTGCAGGGTCAGGTGGCCGTTTATAAATGGCCTCCCCACACCCTGCTTGTGCTCGCTCCCTGGGAGTGCGCAGCACCGCGATCTGGTGCCCGTTGTGTCCTCCGGACACAGTGGAACACCAATCGTCGGACGGGACCTCTGTGCGAGGTCCCGATCATGTGATCACTGATTGGCCAATCAGTGATCACATGCAGAGTAATAAGCAAGATGTCACTTCTGACATCATTGCTTACTACGTGTGAAATCTGTGAATGATCACAGAGGTCACATGGTACAAGGCTATTCACAACAGCCTTGTACCATGTGACAAGCTGTGACCAATCACAGCTCACACAGTAGTTCTCAATGGCTGCAAGAATGCAGCTAGAGAGAAGGAGAAATTATTGCTTTTACAGCCTTTATGGGTGTAAAAGCAATCAGTGTAAAAAAAAATAAATCTTCATCACCCTCCACAAGTAGTACAGTGTCACCATGGTGACACTGTACTGCTAGGGTGACAGTATGTAAAAAAAAAAAACAAAAAACATAAATAATAATGTAAAAAAAATGTTTAAAAATTATAATTTTGGTTATAAACTAATTTGGGTTATTTTGTTTTTTACTAAAAAGATAATGGAATAAATTTTGGCCAAGATTTATGATGAAATACTATTTATTTGCAAAATTTTATAAGAAAAAACACTTTTTTTCAAAATTTTTGGACATTTTCATTTACATAGCAAAAAAAATAAAAATCCCAGTGGTGAGTAAATATCACCAAAATAAAGCTTTATCTGTCTCAAAAAAATGCTAAAAAAGTCATATGGGTACAGTGTTGCATGACCGCGCAATTGTCATTCAAAGTGTGATAGCACTGAAAGCTGAAAATTGGCCTGGACAGGAAGGAGGCAAAAGTGTCCGGACTGGAAGTGGTTAATCTTCCTTACACTTTATCTCAATTAATCTTGATGAATTTTTAAACATTATCCAGTCTCTCCCTGTAGACTTAAATATTTCAAAACTATTCATATGCACGTGTATTACATCCATATTATAGATATAATTTACTTTTCTAATCGACTCTTCCATAGTTGGAATTTTCTGCATGTACCAGTATTTTGGCTGCATTTAATAAATGTGGAACAAGTGATTTCTTATACTGCTTGCCTGGCATATCCATGCTATGGAACAAATATTTTTACATATGTACATCCATATGTACAATCATGCCAGTTATATGCAGAATATTACTAGCGACTTTCCCCCAAATCTGATATTCTGGGGAACTTCCACCATTTATACGTGAAAGTTCCAAGGGAATTGCACCCTCTCCAGCATAGAGGTGATTTTTCTGGTTGAAGCTTCCATGCTCTTACTGGAGTTATATACCATCCTGCTAAAAGTTTGAAATATGTCTCTGCCGTTTCCAGATCGATCGAAGAAAAGCTAGCTTGCTTCAGAATTTTTGCTCTCTGGTGTTCATTTAAGGTAGTTTCAAATTCTTGTTCCCATTTGCTTAAGTACCCTTGGGTTTTAGGTTCTACCTCTCTTACAAGAATTGTATAAAATCAGCATTATTGTTTCTTGGGAACAAAATAATTTCTCTAACAATGTTAAGCATTCACCTAAACAAAGTGGTCGCGGAAGGGAATAACTGCTTTAATTAGCGATCTTATTTTACCCAGCTCGGAGTTCAGCTTCTAAGATAAAACACAACTAAAGAAAAATGTAACTTTGCTCTTTATGATATGCAGTTTTCAGTCATATTTTCAAAGATGGCATTTAGGCTACAGATGAACAAACATACTCTAATGAGATTAGAGCTTGAGAACAAAATATCCTTTGGCAACTCTGTACAGATTTAAAGGTTTTAGCTCATATTTGTTAAAAAATATATTTATAAGAATTCTCGTCCATATCAGGACACCTGATGAGGGAATAGGAAACCCCAAAATAATAAGGTAAAATAAAATTAAAAGTCAACAAAATACAGAAAAGTAAATAGGTTGAAGTGCAAGGAGTCCACCATTTGTAATACTTGGACATTTCTATTGAAAAGACAAAGCACATTGAAACAACTCCCAAATGTTAGCAATACATGAGTAAAAAAATACTTTATTCTGAGCTGATCTTCACCCTCAGAATAAACTTCTCTCCAATCTACCCCTCTTCCCTTCCTGTACTTGAGCTGTTTTCTTTTTTCATACCTTTTTTTAAATGAAAAATGTACGGCTCCAAGTCCCATGCACATCGCTTACCTAGGCAAATGATATGCACAGTGCTTACGCCATGCACATCACATATCCCAGGAGGCATAGCTCTTCATTCACAAAAATGGAAGGGGGGCATGCCTAGTGCTGCTTCATCATAAGGCATGCCGGCTGAACCCAGGAGGACTGGTGGGCCTCTCAATGATGTCACAAACAACATGGCAGCACGGGACCAAGCACTGGCACAATAAAAGAGGATCTCAACAGGATGAAACTGGATCCTCTGGGTGGGTGAGTATCTGAAATGTGCACAATAAACCACCTGGTGAGCTGGGGTAAAAAAAAATTGGGGGCAGGAGAAGATCCACTTTAATGCACATTATAGTACATATAGTTACATAGTTAGTCTAGCTCAAAGAAAGACAAAAGTCCATCCAGTTCAACCATAAAAAAAAAAAAAGTTATAATCCTTCACCCACAGTTGATCCAGCGGAAGGCAAAAAAAACAGTAAAGCTGAATCAAATTTGCTCCTGCAGGGGAAAAAATTCCTTCCTGATCCCCCGAGAGGGAATTGGATATTCCCTGTATCAACTTTACCTATAAATGTTAGTAACCCGTTATATTTTGTGTATCCAAGAAAGAATCCAGGCCTTTTTCAAAAAAATCCACTGAGCTGGCCAGAACCAACTCCTGAGGGAGTCTATTCCACATTTTCTCAGCTCTTACTGTGAAGAAATCTTTTCATGTTTGGAGATTAAATTTCTTTTCCTCCAGATGTAAAGAGTGCCCCCTTGTCCTCTGTGATGACCTCAGGGTGAATAACTCTACACAGAGTTCACTATATGAACCACTGATGTATTTATACATGTTGATCATATCCCCCCTTAACCTCCTCTTCTCAAGGGAGAATAAATTCAGTTCCTCTAATCTTTCCTCATAGCTGAGCTCCTCCATGCCTCGTATCAGTTTGGTTGCCCTTCTCTGTACTTTCTCCAGTTCCCTAATGTTCTTTTTGTGAATTGGTGCCCAAAACTGAACTGCATATTCCAGATGAGGTATTACTAATGATTTGTACAGGGGTAATATGATATCGCTCTCTCTGTAGTCTATACCTCTTTTGACACAAGAGAGGATTTTGCTCGCTTTAGAAACCGCAGCTTGGCATTGCATGCCATTATTAAGCTTATGATCTACCAGAACTCCCAGATCCATGTTAATGTATATCATGGTAAGGTAGGCCATTCATTATGAATGGGCTGCCAATGCACCACAATGTAATAAAAAATGCACAATTTTAACAATGCAGTGCACCGCAATATACAGCACATGTAGTGTGGTGCGCTATGGTGCATTGTTACAGAGTTACATAGTTAGTCTGTTTGAAAAAAAGACACATGTCCATCTAGTTCAACCATTGTGCATTGGCCTCTACTGTACAATGCATTGGAATACCATTCACAATGAATGCATTTTAGCATTAGTTGCCACAAAGCACAAGTGTAGATGGCAGTGGATTGCCAGCGTAAAAAATGCAAACCAAAGCATTACTCACATTTTATTCAGCCTTTTATATACACCTAGGGGTTCTCTATAAAATAAGAGGACACGTTTTACTTTGAAAAATTAATGTTCATTTTCCGTAGTGAATAAAATGAAGCCGTGTTCATTTAGCTATCTGTAAGCAAGATTGATTTCTCCACAAGACCTATAGCTACAGGGGTGAATGAGAGCTTGTTTAAAAGCTCATTTATTTCTTGTTAAGAATATGTAACTTCAATGTCTATTATCTGGGCACAGGGGAACTCAGTAAGCAGCATCAGAAATCCACAGTAGTGCAGACTGCACAAATAACAATAGAGCAAGACTAATCACAAACTGAGGCTCAGATGGCAACACCATTAAAGTGGTAGTAAACGCTTCTTTAATAATTTTACCTACAGGTAAGCTTATAATAAAGCTTGCCTGTAGGTAAAATTAATATCTCCTAAACATGAACCATTTAGGAGATATTAGTCCTTTTTGATATTTGGCGTATGCGCTCTGAAGGAACGACATACCTGTGCCATGGCCCGGGACTCCCGTGTGCATGCCAGAGCTCATGAACCTGGAAGGAAGACAGGTGAAGATGGAAGCCCCGGGTAGCCATGACAGCGCTCCACTGGAGGGCTTCGTTTCAAGATAAGTCCTTCATAATGTGCTAGTATGCAATACATACTAGCAGAAATATGGACCTATAAAGTCCAGTGTGAATACAAAGTATTACAAATCAAAGCAAACCAAAGAAATACAAATGCTTGGGAAATAAAACAGCACATCTACTGAATGTATGCACATATATTTTATCTGTTTATTTATCTGTTTGCTTGGAGTTTAGCTTAAAAAAATTATCAAAACATGTTTAATCAAATTCCTAAATATATTAAAAGTGCAAAGTACATTTTATTAAAAAGACATAAACAAAACCCATTTTCCAAATGTAATAAATGCCTGGATATGTACCGAGGCGTGCCTAGTGTTTTTTATCATTTAAACAGTCTTTATGAACTTTTCATTGGTTAAGAACATTAGATATGGCCAGGGCCCTTTCCTCTGAAACATGTTGGATATATCTAATGTCCTTAACCAATAAACATTTCAATTAGAATTTTAACTTTTAGATTGTAAGCTGTAATGAGCAGGGCCCTCTGATTCTTTTATCATGATTGGAGAGGTAGAAGCTTAGGACCAGAACAAGGTCCACATATACAGTACATGACGTTCATCACGGATCTGCATCCTACATAGAAAACACACTCTACTTTGTATCTATTAGAGACCAATTTCCACTTTTTTTGGGGGGCAAACACTATCACAAACACATGATAAATGGAATAAAGGTCAAAAAAGAGTCTTGGTGATTCAGTCTGAGATTCAGATAGAAAGGATTTTCATCATTTGACCATCACTAGAGTGTAATCCCGCTCAGACTCCAGAGACAAAACAGATGAACTGTATTAGATTGAAGAAAATAAATACAGTGCTGAGGTGGGCAATACCATAAAGCTAGAAATCATATATATATTTTATTCATTTTTATAATAAAATATTCTAGCACTTATTAATTCATTTTATTACAGTAAAATTTTTCTTCTTCACACAGAGGAAAAGCAGTGGTAGGATCAATTTGCACGGAATCAATACAAGTTCTCAGAATTCTGCAATGAATTTAGGTAAACATATTAAGTTAAAGTCCAACATTAAAATGTTTTTTAAAGTTTTAGTTTGATTGGGGAATGGTTAGCACCTCTGTCAGTTTATTATTGTTGACCTCCTTGGAGTATATTTTCTCTTACCTTCTGTCACCAAAACTTTCCTATAGACATATGAACAGCAACAAATATTTGCCCTTTAAATCTCCCCTACATAAAAAGCTCCACTTTCTCTTGGTGGAAGCAGTACTTTACTTCCTAATGTCAGAACCTCCAGCAAGGAGAAGAGTGGGCAGCACAGTACTGACATCTCCAAATCACACTCCAAACCTCCTAAGACTAGCAGTCAGATGCTCTGAGGCTGTAGGCATAGGTGTGCCCAGGCACACTCACATACAAAGCTCTTTTCAGGAGGGATTCCACAGAAAACATTTTTAGTGTACTGCTTAGGCACAGTTATTACTTGCTATCTATAATATTGCAAATATTCACTGTTGATTTCAGGTGGACTTTAAAGTGTTACTAAACCCACAACCGTAAAATTAGTCTGTATATACAGTAAAGCGTGCTTGTTATACTCACTGTGGAACCTAAGGGGTTAATCCTCTGCATTGTGTAAAAAGGCCATTTGATCCTTTCTTCTCTGTCCCTCTTATTCAAATGTCCATGTCTTATCTCCTGACAAGACAGACTGAACCCGCAGCCCTTCTGCGCATGCTCAGTTTAGTGTGTATTGCTAGTTTTTTTTTTCTTGGGAGAGTGCATGTGATCAGCACAGGGCCAATCAGCACTGTCCAGAGAGGGCAGGGGTTCTACATCCTTCTAGAGCAAAAATAAAACTCCTCCTACAGGCTTTAACCAGTGCTCTGTTGACGTCACAAGACTGCCCTAACTGCTGATGAGAAAAGGTATTTAGCAGTTTATATTTACTAAAATAATTGCATTTCCATGTTCTGTGTACTGTGGGAGACCAGATATAATGAATGCAGGCTCCTGGGTTTAGTAACACTTTAACACTTAAAGTGTTTAATTTACTTAATTTAGCATGTTCTGCAAATATGGCCTTTTGCCACTATTATCCTGTTCTCTAGCTGTAGAGAACTCCTCAGGCGTAGTTCACCCTTTCTGGGACTTAATTGTAGAAGCCAATTCTCCTTTGTTATCCCGATTTCTTTTGTAAGTTGTTATTTGATTTGTAAAAACATCAAACCTTTCCGGTTTTGAAGAAGAGTACCTCTAAATAACCTTTTTCAGATTAAAAATAACTATAAAATAATGTTTAGTCCTACAGTATGTTGTTTTTGTTTTATTTTCATAGTATTATTTGATATATAAAAATATCAAACCTTTCTTTACATGCTTAGGGGGGCAGTTATGCTTTAAAAGTGTCCCTTCTTTTGATAACTTTATATAAGCTGGACTTTATTTTCTGGTGTGGTAGAATGTCAGATGCTACTACAGTATTGGTCCTTTATTTTATTTAATTTTGTTCTTATTTTATAACTACTCAATCACAAAATTATTCAAATATTTAGCAGTCCACATGTCACAGCCATGGTTCCACCATAAAATATCAAGAGATGAAGCTCAAAAACTCATACACCAACAAGGACTTGTGAATGGGTAAGTTCAGATTCATAGCTGTTACTTTTTTTTCTTTTTCTATACAGTACCTGTTGGCATGTATAGGTCATTTACCATCATCTCCAAAGAGTACTCTGCCATCATTATTGTTTATTTTTTTTTTAAATATATTAATTAATGACCATTCATAATTCATTAATTGAGATATACAGTATATATACATATACTGTACCACTACTGTGTATATATATATATATATAATACAAAAATATGGAAACACTACATGATTTGCAGGTGTGAAAGTGACAACATGTTTCACGTTGAAAGCGGAAGTGATGTAACAATCTTTTGCTTCTGCTGTGTGATGAGACATCTAACAGGTGGGAAGCCTCACTTTTGTCATTCCCTGCATGCGCTGCTAGTAATACAGAGTCATGTCAGAACTTGCTGAGCTTAAAAAAGGGCAAATTATTGGTGCCCACTTAACTGGTGCCTCTGTGACTGAAGTTCCCAGTTGTGAGGTACAGTATCAAAGGTTCTGATGGCACATACAGTTTCCAGGAAATCGTCTGATAAGCATAAGCATGGTCGCCATGGCCAACTGTCCAAAAGAGACAAAAGGACATTGCACAGGATTGTGACTCGGAAAAGGAAAACAACTGCTGCAAAAGTGACTGCAGAGCTCAATCTCAGTCTTCCAAAGCCCATGTCCACAAAAACTGTATGGAGGAAACAACATAAGCAAAACATTCACTGCAATTGCCAAATCACTAGTGACCGATATTAATGCTCAGAAGAGTAGAGAGTGGTGCAATACCCATACATTGTTGACTATTGATCAATGGAAGAATGTAATATTGTCCAATGATTCGAGTTTCACACTGTTCCCAACCACCGGACATGTTTAAGTGTGGTGAACACCATTCCAAGCTTATGACCAAGACTGTCTTGTGCTAATGGTAAAGCATATCGGCAGCGCAATCATAGTTTAGGCAACCATATCTTGGTATTCTGCAGACCCCATCATCACCTTGCAAGGTAGAGTCACTGTCAGTGATTATGTACAAATTTTAGCCTTCTATGAACACCCCATGGTGCAGACATTGCTTCCTAAAGACAGCGCCATTTACCAAGACGATAATGCTCCAATTCACACAGCTGGTGTTGCCAAATAATGGCTTGATGAGCATGCAGATGAAGTTTTGCACCTTCCCTTGGCACTGCAGTTGTCAGACCTCAATATTATAGAGCCACTATGGTCAATTTTAGAGAACAAGTTTCGGGCTCATTTTCTGGCTCTGACATCTCTGGAATTATTTTTGCGTCTACAGTGGTACCAGATTCCATTATCCACCATCCAAAACATATATTTGTCAATGCCCAGGTAAATTCAGGCTGTCTTGGATGCCAAAGGCGGTCCAACAGCGTATTAGTTAACGAGTTTGCTTTTACCTGGTGTTTCCATAACTTTGTCCAACCCATGTATATACTATATATATATATATATATATATATATATATTTTTCATGTTTTTTGCAGCTAGTTTAGTTAACATATATTGTCAATATCTGTTAGGGGTTCAGTATCCTTCTTATTAATTGTATGAGCCTAATATGCTTTCTATTTAAGAATAGAAACTGCATGGACAATACATTTACAACATCCCTAATGATACATAACGGAATTATTTCAACACCTATTAACTTTTTCTGCAGAAACCCCTTTATGTGCAGGTGACAAGGAAATAGAAGCACATTCAACTGGCAGTTCCAATGATCTTAGTGGATAGTAATAGAAGGAGAAAATGTTAGTTTATATTTGCACACTTGCTTTATTTTCCTTGTATTAAAGAACCTAAGGTGTTTGAAAAATATATTTGTTCTTTAAATTCCTGCCATATCTCCCAAAAAAATTTTAAGGTTCTTTTTAAGACTTTATAAGTAGATAATATATCATACAGAAAGTGTCTGTGTTAATGTTTTTATTTCTGGATCAGAGAGGAATTTTGAAGTTCAGCTGTTATGTAGTCTATGCCAGCTGGTGGACTGCACAAACTTGACAGCTTGGACCTATAGGGATGAATCAATACTCAAGTCATTGAAGTTTCTTTGAAAGCATAATCACATGCTTCAACATTATCTCCTTCCACTTCTAGCCCAGATATCTATTTATAAATCCTATCTGATATTCTGAAAGTTTTCTAAATTCTTTACACTGCTATTCAGACAGTAAATTGTGCAGAGGATCACATATAAGAACAAAAAAGCAAATATATAGATAACATATTTTGTTGTAAATAAACAGGCAGTATTCTCTAATGATGGGCACTTATGCCTCAATAAAAGCAAGTGATGAGACAAGAAACCTATGCAATAATTAGTCAATAAAGGGCTAACAACAACAAAATTAATTGCTAATAAAGAAAAAATGTTTGCAAAAAAACTGATGTCATTGAGATTTTTTGTACCTTACATTTTTGTACTTTTTCCAGAGTATTTTTGCTCCGTGACAGCCAAAGTGCACCGAAATCATTTGTTCTTTCTATGTGTCATGGGCAGAAGATAAAGCATTTTCAGATTTCACCAGTAAGTTTTTTTTTTTTTTGTAGTATAATCTATATTTGTATGCAAAACAAGCGGTATTGGACAATGGAAGTGTGCCGTAAGGGTTACCACTCAAATTTTAGATTGTTTGCTGTGGGTCATTGCGTAATGCCACTGCTCTTTCTAATGTCTATTTCATTTGTCTGAAGATTGTGGTAGCATGAATAGTCACTTCTTTCCCCACCCTCCTTAAAAAGCAATAAGCAGGATACATGCAGGCTACATGCTTAAAATAGGACCATGACCACATATTACACTTACACCTATTGCACTTACAGCTTTCTTTGTTAAGTCCCACAATTACCTGTTGATCCTGCTATTGAAGTCCACCTAATGCAGCTTCCTGTGAATGTGTGGCAACAATGCTGAATGGCTCCTGGATTAAGAGCAGAGTTACCACTTGTATGTAGGCTATACCTGCTTGCAGCACAGTGGGTTAAAAAAAAATTGCAGCGGTGTGGCCAGCATGAATGTCAGTGCTGATTCACCAGCCTGTAGTTCACACCTAGTCCTGTCCATTGCTTTCTGGATTGACAGTACTGCCTTTGTTACTGAAACCCTGCCACTGTGAGCTGTAGTGTCTGAGAGGGTGGGCAGGTGAGACATAAAAGGAAAATATTGCTAAGTTAGGGGCAGAATAAAAAGTTATTGTTTATTTTGTGAGGTTTGAGGTTTATGAATCACAGTAACTGGATTTAAAACTTGTTTAGTCTGTTATATAGGAACCTTTAGCTGTACACCAAAGTGGCCACTGGTCCTCCATTGTATGGGATAATGTTGGCAGTAGGGGCTTTGATGGGCCAGTTTAATACTCTGTTTTAGATTACCTCCAAGGCAAAGAGCATTATATTTTTCAGTAGCAATAGCATAATTTTAATTGTTTCTCCTTGCCCTGAATTTAAATGGACAGACTAAACTTGGGTTACTAAGTTGAGAGATAACCCTTTGCGCCAATCACCTCCACCTTTTAAGGGTTCTAAAACCTGGAAGGCCTTCAGGTCATGTGACCACTGTGATTGGCTGTCACAGTGGTGACATGATCAGAAAGCTCCCGATCGCAAGTATGCATTGAGAGCTTACCAATCACCGCCGTCTACCGTGCTGGAAGCGTGCAGGGAGAGCATTCGTAGCACAATAAGTAATTTTAACAAGGCATGAGTGCATTGTTGATTCTGTAAACTGCTCTCTTGCATGCATAGATTAACATATCCAGAAATGTAAAACAACGTGCTACACTATTAACTTGTCCAGGAATAGTTTGTTGTTTGTAGTGTCCATTTAAAAGCCAACATGTTTTAGGGGTATGAGGGACTGAAAAATGGTGAAACTAGGACAATATGGAGGGATGAAAGTCAAGAATTCTGTTAAAAGCAGAGTGCTGTGGTTGAATGAAAACAGCCTGCTTCACTTTTGGCGAAAAGCAGACATTCCAAACAACAAAATATTTCTGGACCATCCAATAATTAAAAACAATGAGTTCATAGTGTGTTACTTTATTTCATGATTTGAAGCTCCAAAAACAGTTACAGTATTACTTGTAATCAGGTATTTTGTGCTGGATTGAAGGTAGCTGTATAACAGAAGGGAAACCTTTTATGCTCTACAGAAGTCTTAGACACTGACATAAAAAATGAATAGAAATTGGAAGAGCTGAAGCTTGACATTTATTATTTGCTTAGCAAAATACAGATTGTGGAACAGAACCTCCATCCCTGTAGGGGAAATGGTTACCAATTTAATTCTAGATGTTTCGGAATGAAAGTGTTTTAAGCTGGCCATATATGATTGGAATCTAGGCTGATTTGGCAGGGACCAGCCGGATTCAAACCATCTATGGGCAGGCTGATTGTATCTAAATTTATTGTTGTACAACCAGCCTGTTGGATTGTTCATGCGATCATTGCCAGGGGCTATAATGTTCTCCCAGCAGAGACAGCTCCCCCCTGTGTCTCCCTGCCGGGAGAACACAATAGCTCCACATGAGGGATTCCCCCATCAACACTGACTGTTGATGAGGGAATCGAGTGATTTTATTCCTGCAGCCCATGGTTGCAGGAAAGAAAACTACATCATCTATGGTCAGCTTTATGGTATTTGTACACAATCTCAGAAACAGACTGGTTACAAATGCCTTTTTATTTAGTTACATAATATACATCTGTACAATTATCAGCAAAGAATCTTTTACTAGTTATTGTTACTATTATTAGTGGTGACTTCCTAGTAACCTTCAAATATGGGGGAAATATTATCATGTTTAATATATGTGCCATTCCAATTAAAAGAGGAACCTATTCCAAGGCATCATAAAATATGAAAACAGGCCTGACTTTCCTAAACAGTTACCATATGGGGAATTGGCAGCAGAACTGGGGCTCCCTTCTTCCCCTTATGTGCACAGAGCAGTGTCTTCCCCATATAATAAATAATGTGCTACAAGTTTCCAACTTCTTTTCAGCAGCCAGCATAAGTCAATGGGAATCCAGGAAGGCTCAGAGGGTTTCTTATTCAAACGTTAGCATATGGGACCATTATAATTATAAAAGTGGTGTTTTTATATCACATTGCATCATTTATGAACGTATTATTTGCAGTAGGGTCTTGTATTTATTTCTTGTGACCATTATTGTATTATTTATACCAGCTTCATTTTTTCTTTTTTTGATTGCAGTTAATTTAGTGTGCCTTCCTGACTCTTTTTTTTGTCTTTGACCAGATAGAAGATGGAGGAGAGCTGTACTACACATTAGATGAAGGACACACAAGATTTACAGATTTGACACAACTTGTTGAATTTCATCAGCTGAATAAGGGAATATTGCCTTGCACGCTGAAACACTACTGTACCCGTGTTACAGTTTGATGTTAATATGTTCAAAATACTGTAAATACTTTTCACCAAATCTTTCTATTAGAATGACATGCTTGAAAATGTACAGTGACAGTAGAGATGTACAGTCTTATTTAGGCAGAAATGCATTGAGCATGGGCAACGTGCATCAGCAATGAGGATGAAAAAGTGCAGTAACCCACTGCAACCATAATCTATTCTTAACTAAATAGACCGCAGTAAACTGAGCTCTGATTGGTTGATATTGTTTACTGCAAATTGCACATCCGTTTTGATGTTTTCATTTTAATAATTAGGTTTAAGTTGGGATTATACAGTAAAGAAAATATTCCTTGCAGTTACAGTAAAAAAAAGCGAACAAGTAAGCTTTTTTTAATAAGGCAGACAATAGTGGAAAATTCATAGTAACCAATAAAAATAAATAATGTTTCACTTGCTATACGTTGCTGCACATTTCAAATCATCATGGACCTTCAAATTCAGGACAAATCAGAAGGTTTGCTTTCATCCCTCACCTATTCCAAACAGCGTATATATATATATATATATATATATATATATATATATATATATATATATATATAAATAAACCTTTCATTCTCTCGCCTGCTGCTCCTTTTAGAGCCAAGAATAAAAAGAAATGCCTGACACTACTGGATATGGGGGCACATGTGACTCACCCAATGTGACAAAGCTGGGCCAATCAACACTGTTGTCACAGGGTAGTCCATAGTCCAGTGTGAACTTAGACTTTGAAAACTATACAGGACTTTCCATTGCTTCTGGCAACAGAAAGGAGCAGCTTGAGAATGAAGTGGTCTGAGATCAAAAGGAAGATAAGTATATGGGACAGATTAAAAGTTAAGCCGTTATATTACCCCATGTGGGTTCACTTTAAATCCCAATTGAAGTCACAGTATAGTTATGCAATCCAATGGGGAAACCCTACATAAGCTTGAGAGTGGCATAGATGCTTAGTGGCCTGCTCTGTTGCCAGCAATCCATTTGCTTACGTAGAGCTGGTTCTCCACTTTTTTCTCACAGCCTTCAACAATATGATATGTTAACTATCTACCCTTCAGATTGGTATGAGTGTAACAGGAATATTACTCATAGATTGTAAACTTAATAAAGGGCAGATATTTCTTTGCTTGAGTGGAGGCCTATAAATCAAGCATCTTCTTTATTACCCCTGACTTGAACTGTTCCATTTTTTGCATTGCAGTATTATTACCTAAGGGTAATAGTGAGAGGCTTAACATTGCAAAAGAAAAATCACCCTTGTCGCTAGAGCCTAAAGGATTACTTCTGTACAATCAGAGAAAAATGCTGTTATGTCATTTACTTGGGTTTAGGATTTATTTACACTGTTGTACGCCAAAGCACATTGCATTGCATGGGTTTTTATATATAGGACCTCAATGCACATATATGAACCAAAAAATGGACCTGACTTTTTTTTTCCAGAGCACCACAAGGCAACACAAGTGTTTTCTGTAAATACATTGCAGTGAGCTGAGTGTCCGGTATGTTTGCTTTGCCTGTGTATGTGCATTGCGGACTCATTAATAATGAATGTGTACATACCCCATGGAGAATGAAATATAGGCCAGCACACAGTACACACATGCAGTAATATGAATGGGCTTCTATGTCTACCCCGTCACCAAACTAACAATCCCTAAAGAAAAAGTGCTCATAAAGCAGAAATGATATGCTAGACCACTCTTATTGCATGCGGCGCTGAACATTGCTTCATTGAAAAGGATCTGCTGGGTGAAGCTTCTTCCAAAACTGACACTTGTCAGTCTCTTGTGTCGCTCACTGGTTTTTCCTCACCATAAAAAATGCCTACAATTCATAAAATATAATGCTTTTGCAAAGTTTAGAAGTAGACATAGTGGTGAAAAAACCCTCATACTTAAAAAAAAATACAAAAAACAGGTACATAAAAAAAAAAAATCACTACGAAGAAGCAGGGTCAATAAAATAAGGATCATGCCTTCCTTTTAGCCAGCCTAAATTGCTAGCTAAAAAATATTCTGGTAAATATCCCATAAATTTACTGGTGAAGCTGTTGAGAACTATTTTCTGCAAAAAATATGGCAAAAAACCTACAGCACAACCAAATCTATACAATACTATGACTACTTGCATATAGTACATCCAGAAAGTATTCACAGCACTTAACTTTTTGCCACATTTTGTTATGTTACAGCCTTATTCCAAAATAGATTAAATTCATTTTTTTCCCTCAACATCTACAAACAATACCCCATAATGACAACGTGAAAGAAGTTCATTTTGAAATCTTTGCAATTTATTAAAAATGAGAAACGAAAAAAAAAAAATTACACGCACATAAGTATTCACAGCCTTTGCCATGACACTCAGAATTGAGCTCTGGTGCATCCTGTTCCCACTGATCATCCTTGAGATGTTTCCACAACTTGATTGGAGTCCACCTGTGGGAAATTCAGTTGATTGGACATGATTAGGAAAGGCATAAACCTGTCTATAGAAGGTCCCACAGTTAACAGTGCATGTCAGAGCACAAACCAAGTCATCACGTCTGTCCTCCGAGACAGGATTGTATCAAGGCACAGATTTGGGGAAGGGTACAGAAAGATTTCTGCAGCATTGATGGTCCCAATAAGAACAGTGGCCTCCATCATCCAAAAATGAATGCAGCAATGTACAGAGACATCCTTGATGAAAACCTGTTCCAGAGAGCTCTGGACCTTAGACTCTGGAGACGGTTCATCTTTTAATAGGACAACGACCCTAATCACACAGCCCAAATAACAAAAGAGTGGCTACGGGGCAAATCTGTGAATGTCCTGGAGTGGCCCAGCCAGAGCCCTGACTTGAACCTGATTGAACATCTCTGGAGAGATTTGAAAATCGCTGCGCACCGATGCTCCCCATCCAACCTGATGGAGCTTGAAAGATACTGCAAAGAAGAATAGGAGAAATTGCCCAAAAATAGGTGTGCCAAGCTTGAAGCATCATACGCAAAATGACTTGAGGCTGTAATTGGTGCTAAAGGTGCTTCAACAAAGTATTGAACAAAGGCTGTGAATACTTATGTATTTTACTGTAAATCTTCTATAGCTAAAGATCTGATCACTTTTAAACCATTTCTATTGAAATGATTTAGCTTCATTTTAACTTGTACAGTATATTGTTATCCTTGATCTGATATACTGTACAAGCTTGAGAGTTTGGTGAATCTTCAAGGAGATTAAGAAGGGCCCAGGAAGTGAGTCTAGGATCATTTTCATTATCAGTGAAACACAATCAGTTTTCAGCAAGGCAGTGCAAAAAGCTGTGAGGATGCACTTAGAAATGACCTAAAGCTTCATTAGGGTTTATACAGTCACCGGCCACTTTATTAAGTACACCTGTTCACTTTGTTGCTTGGTAACACAAATTTCTAATCAGCCAATCACATGGCAGCAACTCAAAGCATTTAGGCATGTAGACGTGAAGACAACTTGCTGAAGTTCAAACTGAGCATCAGAATGGGGAAGAAAGGGGATTTAGGTGACTTTGAATGTGGCATGGTTGTTGGTGCCTGACGGACTGGTCTGAGTATTTCAACAACTGCTGATCTGGGATTTTCCCACACAACCATATCTAGGGTTTACAGAGAATGGTCCAAAAAAGAGGAAATATCCAGTGAGCGTCAGTTGTGTGGACTAGGATGCCTTATTGATGTCAGAGGTCAGAGGAGAATGGGCAGACTGGTTGCTGTGACATTTGGATGATATGGTCAGAATTTGGCATAAACAACATAAGAGCATGGATCCATCCTGCCGTCTGCCACCAGTTCAGGCTGGTGGTGGTGTAATGGTGTGGGGGGATTTTCTTGGCACTAGCAGGGTGTACCTAATAAAGTGGCCGATGAGTGTAGAAACGCTTGTGAAAATATCACCTAAATATATAATTTATCTGTGTTTTAAAAAAACATGTCTATGTATAGTTTGGAATCATATGTACACCTTGGGCAGCCAAATTTGCTCATTACAGAAATAAGTTTAAATACTTATAAATACTTTCTGATAGTCAAACTTCTTATATTGTTAAAGCTGAACTCCAAGTATATATAACATATGCATATTTACATACACACAGATGCATTGGGAACACTACACATTCTATTCCAAATCAAAACATGAAGAAAAATATATCAAATTTGTGTTGTTCCTCTAAAATAATTGAAGAAAAGTGAATATTAGACTGTTCAAAAAAATAGCAGTGTTTGTATTCTTCTTTACAAACTCAAACATTCACTATATAAACTGAAAAATGTTTGAAGATTTTGCTTTCCTTTGAATCACTTAATGAATATTTAGTTGTATAAGCACTGTTTCTGAGAACTGCTGTACATCTGTGTTGCATGGAGTCACCCAACTTCTGGCACCTGTGATCAGGTATTCCAGCCCAGGATGATTGAATGATAGCCACAGTTCTTCTCTATTTCTTGGTTTTGCCTCAGAAACTGCATTTTTGATGTCACCCCACAAGTTTTCTATTGGATTAAGATCCGGGGATTGGGCAGGCCACTCCATAACGTCAATCTTGTTGGTCTGGAACCAAGATGTTGCACATTTACTGGTGTGTTTGGGGTCGTTGTCTTGTTGGAACATCCATTTCAAGGGCATTTCCTCTTCAGCATAAGGCAGCATGACCTCTTCAAGTATTCTGATGTACTCAGACTGATCCATGATCCCTGGTATGCGATAAATAGGCCCAACACCGTAGTATGAGAAACATCCCCATATCATGATGCTTGCGCAACCATGCTTCACTGTCTTCACAGTGTACTGTGGCTTGAATTCAGTGTTTGGGGGTCGTCTGACAAACTGTCTCCGGCCACTAGACCCAAAAAGAACAATCTTACTTTCATCAGTCCACAAAATGTTGCGCCATTTCTCTTTAGGCCAGTCAATGTGCTCTTTGGCAAATTGGAGCCTCTTCAGCACATGTCTTTTTTTCAACATTGGGAC